CCATCCATCCATCCATCATCCATCCATCCATCCACCCATCATTTCATCCATCCATCCATCCATCCGTCCCTCTCTCCCTTCCTCCCCCACTCCCTCCCCAGAGGGGAACTTTCAACACACCCAGGAGTCAGTTCCTCTGGTCATAAATCTCTACTTTACTGCCTAAAAGCCTCTCAAGGACAATTGTGATGATTTTTCTGTGATTTCTTTCTTCCCCTCTGTCTCCCCTTCAGTGTTCTCATTCAGGAGCTGCTGATCTCAGAGGAAGATTATATTCAAGATTTGCAGTTCCTTCAGACTCATCACCTTAGGTACACTGAGACCTGTCCCAGTGTGCCAGGAGCTGTTGCCAGTCAGAAATCCACCATCTTCAGGAATATTGATGACATTGGTCGCTTCCATTCCAGGTGGGCATTCCCAAGTGCCTTCATTGGATACCAAAGAATGGCATTACTATTATTATTATTATTATTATTATTATTATTATTACTTCTGTTATTATTATTACTATTCTTACTATCATTCCTGATGTGGAGCACTGGCAGTGCTGAGGTGCAAGGGAATTGATGCTCCTTTTAGGAGGGTGAATGCTGTCATGGCTTAAATCATAGCACAGGGTTAGGACTTCCATAATCCCCTTCAGAGCTTCAAAGCTTCCTGTGTCCAGCTTATTTTTTACTCTTTTAAGTGAATTTAACTGAGAAACAGTGAATTATGTTAAAAAGGCAGCCAGTTCTTACAGGCACTTCAGTGGTGTCTTCACAGAGATATTAATCCATGTAAAACTGATGTCAGCATCCATGAATTTCAGGACACCTTCCACTATCCCAGGCTGCTCCAAGCCCCATCCAGCCTGGCCTTGGACACTTCCAGGGATCCAGGGGCAGCCACAGCTTCTCTGGCCCTGTGCCAGGGCCTGCCCACTGTCACAAGGAAGAACTTCTTCCTAATATCCCATCTAATCCCACCCTCTGTCAGTTTAAATCCATTCCCCCTCATCCTGTCCTCCAGGCCCTTGTCCAAGTCCCTCCATCCCATCCCAGCTATGAGGAATGGCATTGTGCTGGGAGAATAGGCACTGAGAAGTTTAATGCTCATTTTCCCCCCATCATTTCCTTTCACCTGTGTTAACCTGACATCTCCTGATGCACAGCCTGCCTGCTGGGGTCCTGTTTTAGCCTCATTCCAGCACCTTTTCTCCTGTCCCCACAGTGTCTTCCTCCGGAGCTTGCAGGGCTGTGACACTGATGATGACGTGGCCATGTGCTTCATCAAGCACGAGGCAGAGTTTAACAAGTACATCCAGTACCTGGTGGGAAGGGTCCAGGCTGAGTCAATTGTTGTCAGCAAAGCTGTCCAGGATTTCTACAAGGTAAGGCAGGAGCCGAAAGCACCTGTGGAAAATTCATCCTGTAACCCACCGCATCAAGAAATGTAGTTGTTAATCACGAATGTGAACCTCAAAAGTGTTTGTAATATCTTTTGTTTAAAATAATGATTTTTAGTTCACTTTCCAGCTTTTTCTGGTAAGTGCAGACAATATGGGAACATATTCTTATGCATTTACTAATATCATAAACTTTAAACAGACTTAAATGTGGCTGTGTTTATGTAATTGTAATTAAAGGATGTTTTAAGGGCTATGACATTATAAGACCGAGAGAACTTACATAAATCATAAATATAGATAGACAAATATTGTTTATCTGCTCCAGCTACTCAGGATTTTTTTCTACTGCTCTTTATAACAACCTTTCCTTGTTATTCCATGTATTTTTTC